AGATTCAGAAAGGGATGTGGAATGAGTGGTTTCACTGCTGATGTCAGATGGATCTTGGCTGAAAGCATAGAATACCAGAAAGGTATTTATCTGTGTTTTATTTTCTATGCAAAGGCATTTGACTGTGTGGTTCATAACAAAATATAGATAACATTGTGAAGAATTCCAGAACGTTAATTGTGCTTATGATGAACCTGTACATAGACCAAGAGGTAGTCACTGAAATAGAACAAGGGAATATTGTGTGGTCTGCAACCAGGAAAAGTGTCATCAGGGTTGTATCCTTTCACCATGCTTATTCAGTGTGTATGGAGAGCAAATAATCTGAAAAGCCGTGTTATGAAGAAGAAAATGGCATCAGGATTGGACAAAAACTCATTAACAACTTGAGATTTGCCCATGACACTACCTTGCTTGCTGAAAGTGAAGAGGACTTGAAGCACTTACTAATGAAGATCAAAGACTACAGCCTTTAGTATGGATTACATCTCAACATAAACAAACAAACAAACAAACAAATCCACACAACTATATCAATAAGCAACATCATGATAAACAGAGAGAAGATTGAAGTTGTCAAGGACTTAATTTTACTTGGATCCACAATCAAAGCCCATGGAGGCAGCCTTCAAGAAATCAAACAATATGTTGCACTGGACAAATCTGCTGCAATAGACTTCATCAATGTGTTGAAAAAGCAAAGATGTCATATTGAGTACTAAGGTGGGCCTGACCCAAGCCATGGTGTTTTTAATCACCTCATATGCATGTGAAAGCTGTACAATGAATAAGGAAGACTGAAAAAGAATTGATGCATTTGAATTATGATGTTGACAAAGAATATTGAATATATACCATGGACTACCAGAAGAATGAACAAATCTGTCTTGAAGAAGTACAGCCAGAATGCTCCTTAGAAGCAATAATGATGAGATTTCATCTCACATAGTATGGACATTTTATCAGGAGGGACCAGTCACTGGAAAAGGACATTATGCTTGGTAAAGTAGAGGGTGGGAGCTCTGGTAGCTTAGTGCCTAAGGCACTTGACTGCTAACCAGAAGGCTGGCGGTTCAAACCCACCAGCCACTCCTCAGAAGGAAATTGGGCAATCTACTTCCATAGTGATACTGCCTCGGAAACCCATGGAGGGGTCGCTATGAGTCGGGTCTGACTCGACAGCACATAACAACAACAACAACAAAGTAGAGGGTCAGTGAAAAATAGAAAGACCCTCAACAACTTGGATTGACATAGTGGCTGCAGCAATGGGCTTAAACATAGCAATGATTTTGAGGATGGTGCAGGACGAACAGACCTTTGTTCTGTTGTATATAGGGTCACTGTGACTCAGAACTGACTCCACAGCACCTAACAACAGCTCTTACGTTTAGGTCTAGACTCGTTTTGAGTTAATTTTTTTGTATATGATGATAGATAAGAGTTTAGATTCTTTCCTTCTTTTGACTCCAAACCATATGCTTTTCTTGCTCAGTAACAATGATTCTCAAAATGTGGTTCCCTCCCAGCATGAGCATCACCTAGGGACTTCTAAGTATTGCAGATTCTTGCCCCTTATCTCCACAATACCTATTAAATCAGAAATCCTTGGAGGCGAGCCCAAAAATCTTTGGTTTAATGCAGCCCTTCAGGTAATTCTTATGCACATTCAAATTTGAGAACTCCTGATAGACACCCTATCGGGAGCTCTGGTGGCA